TGCTCATGGTGGTACTGTTGGGTCTCTGTAAATGTTATAAGGAGTTCGGTCTAGACCTGCTCTATTTGAAAAGTGTCCTGAGATAACTTCTGTTATGTATTGGCGCTATGCAAATAAAATTGAATTGAGTTGAGTTGAATTGAAATTCACAAAACCATTTTTGTCACTTTTCTGCTGAGTGCAACACCATGAATCTTTCCAGGAGAGACATGAGCAAGCCGTTATTACCACAACTGACTGCGTCTGACCCCTTTCTACAGAGCTCAACAATGAGTGCCCACTGGTTCCAGAAGGGAATTTCCCTTTCATTTACTCCTTATATAGAGTATAAAGACTGTGAGAAATAAGACAAAGGTACAAGACAATGCATAATTATTTTAAGAGTGAAGGAACTACTCATCCCATGAACTACTGCAAATGATAACAATAGTGGCACACTTCTCCTTCAATTTCACATTTCTCATTATTAGTGTTTATACTGTGAATAAAAGTGTTGCAATACATTGTACAGTGCTAGCAGCTAAACCTTTTGTAGTGTGTAAATACATTTTTTGTAAAAAGTAACTCATCAGACATTTCCATGCTAACAGCTAGCTCTACCTATCAGAGACATCGCTGTTACACTTTTGGGTTGTGGGTACTGTAGTATCTCAAGTTTTTCTTAAAGCAGGGTTGATATCATATGAGTTATGGCTCCTATGGAGGAATATACCATTGTTTCACAATCTCGTAGCTCGTCTAGCTTGGATGGTTACGAAATTATGGCTAATAACAGAAATCCTCTATTCTATACTGTATTATAACGGGATTGTTCCTTACACTGTTGCTATGACAGCAGATGTTCACAGTATGGACGTGGTTGTACTTGTTCACTCTTTCGCCTGTCTACTGTCAATCAGAGTGATAACAGGTTCTAAATGTGTGTGTTGAATGTTGGTGGTTTGGGGACTATATTAGTTTACATTTAGTCACAGATTGTGCCTTTAGCAGAACCATTATTGAATTATTTCTCCACACAGTAACAAAAAAGACTGACTTAGTCTAACCATGCACATCTCAAGGTCTCAACCATATCCTGAAGAAAGCTTTAGTCGTACTACACCACTTCCACTGGCTCCCACACCCATTATCATGGGTCAACCCAAGACTATTTGGTTCTCAGACTTTCCTTTTCGATTACTTAAGAAGAAAGATTTTCAGAAGAAATGGCAACATTTGGGAAAATTAAAAAATAACATTTTATGCAGCAGAATGTTTTTCCTTATCTTCCCTTTCTTGTGAATAATTTTCCTGGTTTCCCAGTTGTGAACCACTGAGCTCCGCTGGTCATCCATTCTTCTATATGGCTTTTCCAGCAAGAGTATAAAGTGCTTCTTGTAAGATGAGCCTTTTTTTTCTCAAAAAGTCCCCTGTGAGAACTAACATATAAAATCTGTTGTGATCACCTGACCTGACATCTACCAAATGATCCTGTGGAACCTGCCTATTTGCTGCCTGAACAACATTAAAAAATACTTCTTTCCGACCCTTGGACTGCCTGAGAATCCTGCAGCTTGGGACCGTGTCCCTCCTGCTCAGTTCTTCCAGTCCCAGGGGACACATAGGTCCCCATCCTGCATGACCGAGTAGAAGTGAGAAACACAGATGTGGAGGCCCTGCATGAGGGGGGAACTCTGCTCCACCAGTCTTTTACAGCACAGGATCATCTGGCTAGAACTGACACTGGGCTCCTTGGACAGACTCCTCAAAGACAGGTTTTGGAGACACAGCTTCACCACAGCATCTTCCTCCCCCTGCAGCCTAAACACAAAAAAAGTATGAGTTAATAACAGAGCTGATGAACTAGTGTGGTTAGGTGTGTGTGTGCATCTTATTAAAGCTAGTGTGTAATAATTCCACATTAAAATGTCCATAAACACTGGCGCTAGACATATATATTTATATATATATCTCCACATATTTCATTAAAGTTTAAATTTCCCTTTCAAAGTAAAAGCACTGTAATAATATTTTATTTACCACACCTCCAATTGGAACTGGTTGAAGGGCAGTATCTTTCCAATGCACTCTCTCTTGTGTTCATATAATAATTCATATAATATGAATAAAATGTGACTTCATCAATCTATGTTTTCGATGTGTAATATTATTACGATGTTGCTTTAAGACAGTCCAATCATGTCCATTCAAGCTGGAAGGGCACATACCCCACCTGATTTTCGAATACCTTTTATTTCATTGCTATTTCATTTTATATTCAGACCCAGTTGTACGATGGTGCAAACATGCATTGCACCCTGAGTTAAATCAGTTGCACCCTTAATGTCAAGCGCAAGGTGTCCTATAGACTGTACGCGCGTCTCCATGCGGACCTTCTTATTTGGTCCATGTATGTTCAGCAGCGCAACGTGCAAAAGGGCTGGGTGAAGGTGGGTGGCGATTATTAAATACTGTATCAAAACACTGATTTGGTGAAACCAAATCTGACTGACGCTAATTATCATGTATCTCACCTCGTACATGGTCATATAGTTCAGTAATTAATGTTACTCAGCAATTTGCATTGCAGTGTGTTCCACGGATAAAACATGAGACGCTATGTTTGCCAAAAAACAAAGTTAGACAAGGCTATGATTAGCCCTGGTAACCGGATGTCTCCTTCACAAAAGGGTAGAATATCCAGTTATATCCGACTAGTCTGACCAGAGCTCTGTATGGTTATGTTATAGCAGCTTGCTGTTGTTTTCAGGCCAATTAATGAAGGTAAACTCAGTGAATAGTCATGCGTAAAGACACTGTGCTCTGGCACGGCACTTAAAACAGCTTAACATATCCGTCCATGCCTTCAGATGCTGCAGGGACTCTGAACTGAAGGAGACCACATTAAACCTTTTGCTGCTTCCAACACATTGTGTTTGAACATACAGCTACAGTACAGTAACAGCGTGAATACTGGCCATTCGCAAGCTCACTCAGGCCCACACTTCTTGCAGTAACATCCTTACCAAATAAGTATGGGGCGGAAAACAAAAGATGTTGCAGTGCCTTGATCATGTGACATTTCATTCCATATATTCAAGTTCCATTTAATATATTCAAATTTTCCATTCCATATATTCAGACTTTCATTCCATATATTCATTCAATAATTTCCTAAAGGGCAAGAACCATTTTGAGCCACACAGCTGACACACTTGGTGTGGACGCTGCGCATGTGTCAGACACACTCTGTAGACACCACACGCTGCTCAGGTGGCCTATGTAAATGAGCTGTAACTGGGAGAAGCTGACTGCAACAGTGGTGAAATTACATATTGTGCTTTTAATATGAACAATGTGAAATCAGAGGTCCTGCAGGATTTCTTTTTTGCTCACTTACTGGAGAGCTGCCGAGCAGGAATGTGCTCATCTTCCAGCCACCAGTGCAGCATTCTGCTCTATAAGTTATCCTTCAATACAGATACACAAGATGAAACATTACCAATATGGTGGCCAAAACAATAAAAAAGCTTTTTCTGTGTGGATTGTGCACTGATTTTGCTCCAATATGGCGATGCACAGGTACCATCGGCCAATATCAGCTGATAATATTGGCCGACCGATATGGGTCATGAGCTAACAGATAGTGGGTTTTTAAAAGCCAATATAATAACAATAGTTTGGAGCAGGGAAAAGCTGATAGCCGATTAATCAGCTCAATCAATCAACCCCAACAAAAAAAAAGTCACTGTCAGAAAATTATTATTTTCATTGACAGCTGGCATAGGAGCTGAGTCATGCTGCTCTGCCTCACAATGTCCAGTACTGCACTGCCTTCTGTGCTGTTGCTCCTGCACTGCTCTGTTTAGAATGATGCAGCTACAAAAGAGATTAAACTGACAAAAAGTGAGTGGAAGTGTTGTGTTTGACTTACTGGTTTTTGCGTTGGGTGCGCAGTCTGGCCTCTGGGGCGTGGCTCTGAAGGAAGACCTGCAGCTTTGGAGGGTCACAGTTGGTGGGGACAATGAAGTGCCCCATCTCATGAAGACTGGGGTTAGAGCGGTCACTGTGATTACAACAAACAGCAAACTATGTCTTACTTAATCAAAGATCACAGCAGTGTGTCATGTGTTTGAGGTCGTTCGGTTGTGACAGCGTACTTCTCCAACAACATGGTGAGGCCCTGCAGGCTCCTGGGGTGCAGGCGAAGGCGTCGGGACACCAAGCTCTTGTGGAAGGTGCTGAGGGTGCTGTAGTGCTCGGCAATGGGCTGGACCGGTCCCAGCCTCTCCATGTGGATCACTTGAGTTCCGCCCAGGAGAAGGCTGATCCTCTCCTTCAGCCACTCCGTCTGCTGCAGCAGGCTGCGATAGCTGGACAGCTGATCAAACAGCTGGAGACACACAGGCAAAAGAGGGCTCAGAAAACAAAGAGGAACACAGGGAACCTGTGGCAGCAGAAGCACTGCAGCTACATTACCTTGGTCCACTGGTGATGGACGTCCATGGTTCCCAGCATGACGTGTCCAGAGGCGTTCATCCCTGACTGGTCAGCAAACACAATAGTGTGTCCTAGGGGGAAGGTGGAGGAGCACATAAAAGGGGGGGGGGGTTTACAGCCTACCACTTACACTGCATAAGTAAGTCGGTTTTACTGGTCTTGGGCAATAGAGATAAATAAATGAAAACTGTTGTAGAAAGCAGTCCGTGGTTCTGAAGTAAGCTTTGAAACTGTGAAAATGATCAATCAAATGTTATGGTCACATTAGACTGCTCAAACAAAGATGCCAACACTCAGCACTGAAGAGCTACCAGACTGCTAGTGTGGTGATGTATAAAACAAGGTGATGGCAGCACTAGAATAGGGAAAATAAGGGAGTCTGGGGCTGATTTGCTGCCACTCGCAAGATTTGCTCTGATCCAATCACAGTTCAGTTCAATTCAATTCAATTCAATTCAATTCAATTCAATTTTATTTTATTTTTACACGCCAATTCATAACAGAATTATCTCCAGGACACTTTTCAAATAGACAGTCTAAAACCGAACTCCTTTTAACAATTTACATGAGACCCACATCACCACCATGGCAAGAACCTTGCACAGGGGCAAGGAAAATACTGCCTTTTAACGGCAGAAACCAATGAGTTACAAGAGTGCATTACACTACCAGGGTAAATGCCAAAGGCAAGATCAGATTCTGGATACAATCACATTTAATTTCCAGCTGTAAATGGGGTCAGATCCCCTTAAATCTCTTTTTTTTATCTAATGTAATGCTACAGCGTCCATGTTGTCTAGGGCAATAAATCACCAGTTATTATCAGAAATGATATTATAACAGATTCGTTGGACACAAAACGATTTGTCGATCACAAAAGCCCACCAACTATGATTCAAGTCCATTCGATTAGATCAGGGGCCTGTGACAACAACATCATATATGTCCACGTAACAACAATGGTGTACATTTAAATAATTTCACAAAAAGCTTACTAAATTGATTTGAAAATGTTAATGTCTTCCAGCATTTATTTTATCTGTGGCTCCCAGAGGAAGAGTGGGTGTCCACTAATCGGAAGTGTTGGTTCGATCCCGCTCCTCCCACCACGTGTCAAGTGTCTTGAGCAAGAATACTGAACCCCAAATTTGCTCCCGTGCCGTCACGGTGTGATGGATTGAATGATTACGGTGTGTGAATGTGTATGAATGAGTTAGTTTCTGTTCGATGGACTTTGCCATCACTGAGTGAATGTGTGTGAAAGGGTGAATGTGGCACGTAGCGTAAAGGTCCATTTAACGACACTGTTGCATCATGCATATGGCATGTGCCTTGTCTATATTTCCACCAAAAAAAAGATGACGACACAAATCGGTGTTCACTTTGTATCAATATATTGGTTATTGAACACTGATATCGATGTATGTCTTTACCTTGTAGGTTGATCAGGGCCTCTGGGTTCTGCTGAGACAGTCGGCTCAGGCTCTGAAGCTGACAGCACCTGTGGGCCACTCCCCAGCTGCGCTGCCACCTGCGCCACACAACCAACATTATCATCATCATAATAATATATACACAGCTTTACAGTCCCTGTCCCCATAACAACAATCCAGTATACTGCCACTTCCCCGCTACTGAGAACCACAGACCTGGAACGCTGCTGATTATTTTAGTTTATCAGATTGTTCAGACAGGTGGGTAGATATGTTCAGGTAGATGCAGGGTTGTTAGCACCTCCCACAACACTTATTCTGTGTTAAAACAGTTGAGTAGAGTGTACCTGATATCAGCCAGATAAAATTTGTGACACAGTTCCTTCTTCAGTCTGATCAGCTCTTCTCTCCGAGGAAGACTGGCATTGTGCTTCTTCGTTGCCTCGGGCTCGTTGTTTCTCAGCCACAAACTGACGAAGAAAAGGCAACATGAAACCACTTTGAGATGACGGCATTCTATAAAACTACTATAATCAGTATCTTTCATGGTGACGTAGAATTCTCTCCAACTCTGCAGTTCCTCTCAGCTCTATGTTTGTGTGGACTCAACACAACAACCACCACTTTGTGGAAGCTAATGTGAATCCAATTTAAAATAAAGAATAAAAATAAAGCTAATTTTTTTGTTTTTACAGCACGTCACTTTCAGTTCTCTAAGCTCTAAAAACCCACTGTACATGACCCGCTCAGCTTTACTTTCAGTTTACTCACAAACTACTTTAATCTGATGCATCCTGCTTTTCCCTTCAATTCTCTCACCTCCATACACACACATCAACACATCTGTCTCCCTTCCTCTCTCGCCCCACCCTGTCTCTTTCAGTTTCTCTCTTGCTGTCTGTTAACTTTATTTGTCAGCAGTATGTTTTAGGAAGTCACCCAAAAAAAAAAATGCATTTTGGCTAGCAGTGATGATCGGGCCCTCGCAGTCTAATATGAATATTCCATTTCAGATCCTCCTAAATGATAGGAACACTATCTTTCTGAGATAAGAAAATGGATATCAGTCTGACGTCTGTGTGTTGAGTACAGAGCTGGTATAGTCTTTGATTTTCTATTATATTCTTATGCACTACATTCCCCTATGCTGCTGTGTCTAATTTGAATTTCTCCTACAGGGGATCAATAAAGGAACATCTTATCCTATCTTGTCTTGTGTCACTAGCTGGTTAGCCTAGTTTGGCATAAAGATTGGAAGAAGGTGCAAACAGTTAGCCTGGGTCCAAATTTCAACACAACAGAAATGTCTGAAACAACAGTTTGTGGTTCTTATACTTAATCATTAATGGTTATTATTTATGATTACAGCCTCTACCTAAAAAGTACTGAAATTTGATACCCAGCTCTACATTGTGCACTGTACAGTTGTGATACAGAGATGAGGGCCAATGATACTAACCTGAGTACAGGCTCTACTCTCCTGGCCTGCTGCAGCTCTTGCTCAGGGTCTCTAAAGCCAGTGAAGGTGTAGTAGCTTTTATTCCATTTGATAGGTCTGTAAAAAGGCACCCCCGCCTCAGGTGGCCTTTTGGATGCCTGTGCACTTGCTTTCAGTCCATTCATGTGCTCAATGGGCAGGCTGCAGGACTTCAAGACGTTCATCACTGTGCTCAAGACATCGTTTGTGTGCAAGGTGAAACTCACTGATCGGAACCCTGAGAACCGGGGGGAGGTTTTAGATTTCTGAAGACAGAACTCAACAAATAATATGAGCGACATGAATGGAAAGTGTACCCGAGGTGAGGAGGTCTGGCTGCACATCGCTGCTATCCTTTGTGTCCCTGACATAAAAAGTGAGCTTCATTGGCTGGACTGAGCGTGAGCCAGGCTTCTGCAGGTTGTCCAGGTAGCCATTTAGCCTCTTTAATGAATTCTCATTCACTTCCTGTAGAGAACAAAATCAAATGTTACACACTCTTTGCATATAAAAGATGGAAGTTACATCTCCACTTCCCCCCACTGTACACAAATGAAGCCAAAATATCCCAGATACGGATCTTGCACTGGTGACGACAATCAGAGTCTACAGAGTAGTGATTGGACTACCTAAAATGCCAGAAACCATGTTTGGAAAAAATCTATTTGACATGTATTTTGATCTTTTAGTTTATCCCATCTGCTAACATGGAGTCAGTGGGATTTATGAACTATACTATAGTCAGACGCCAGAGATGTTTTCAAGATGTTTTGGCTTCACTTTTGGAAGCTGTCATGTCGTTCATCTTTATACATGTCAGTCGCCCTCCAGCAAAGTACTACAATTGTCTGTGTTGGTCACACACAAAGACTCAAAGCACAGTCAACTCAACCTTGGAACACTTCATGTCAGTCTACCAATAACTTAATAGTCACAGTTCAATCACTTTAGATTTGTTTGATTTACAACATAATATAAGTGACCTACCCGTTCCCTGGGATATTGACCAAAGAAATCAGGATGGACTGCAAAATAAAAGGGTCTGAGTGCATTGACAGCATCTGCCCCTGACAGAGTCCTCTGCTGGACTAAATGTGTGGCCACATGCTTCCTCTCCAGCCTACAGAGGAAAAATACATTAGTTCCATTCCATCCATCCTATGTGGAGAAGACAGGTATTAGAGGTATAACTAGTGCTCTATGTCTACATATAGGTTATCCGATATGCACCCAAATGAAACCTTTTTTTCTTCTGGAAAAAATACTATAACTATAATATATTGGAGCCGGTGCAAAGTTTATCCAGCAGAGTCTGCTGTGATTTACAATACTGTGGCAAGCAGCACAGAGTAAGAAAGAAGGAGCAGCTCTCAGCAAAGTCAACTAGGATTGGTTGACAGTGTATCTAGTGTATACATCAATTATTGGACATGTTTAAGAATATCTCAATTAAATATTCATTAATGAAGCAGATTTCTGAATACCTTTGCACAATCCACAAAGAAAAGGTATTTTTTTCATACTTGTGCTTTCTCGTCTCGCAGGATCTAATGGACCCCAGTTGTGCCTGCTGCTGTGGTCCTGCTTGACTCCCACTGCTAAAATTACTGATACTGTTATTATTCATCATCCCCCATTGTTGTGGCTATTACTGCCGTCATCAGTAATTTCTACTAGTATGCAGTACTGTTGTTGCTGTGCAGTTTTCATATCAGAGCATATTGGATAATATGTACGCCAATACCGATGCAATACAGATATGTCTGTAATAGGCCAATACAGTTGCAAGAAAAAGTATGTGAACCCTTTTGAATTACCTGGATATAATTGTTTGTGTGGTATTAGTTTAAGCATACTGTATTTGTCTATTGTTGGGACTTAGATAAATATCAGAACACATTTTATGACCAATTCATGCAGAAATCCAGGTAATTCCAAAGGGTTTTTCTTGCAACTTTATATCAGTGAAGTTCTATTACAATAATTGTTGTAAGATTTTTTCAGCACTGTTTAATATATAAAGTCCTTAATTGTATACTCCATCAACCCTATTTTATTATCAGAGTTGGAGGTGAATATAGGAGTGTGATAGATCTGGATGATTATTTAATGAACATTTTTGTATCACACATCCAATATTGAAAAACTATTATCAAAATTAATATTAATATTATATATATAATATATAATAATAATTATGATGTAACGTTTCTTGGGGTCTGTACTAGGGATAGGACGATATATGATATTATCGTAATAAAACAGAACTACAGTACTTCATTATTATTAAGATTTCGGTAGTACTGTGATTAACTGTGCAGCCCTAGTGTGATACAAGACGTTGTTTATGCCTCAGAACATCCCTCGATCACACCTGTGAACATCCGTGTTGATGTTGCACAGTGAAGCACACAAGTATCAGCAATGTTACCTGATGCAGCATCGCAGCAGGCCGTTGACAGACATTACTGATGCTGCTGTTCTCATGACCTCGGCAGCCAATCAGTAGTCCTAATGTCAGAGTACACATATTACCAAGTGTCACCAGCACAGCACAGCAGTCATTAAGTAACCAGGAGGAAATAAAGGGTAATCAATTATGACGTGTATCTGTTATAAATACACATTCAAAACTAAAACAAGGATTAACGTTAAGCAGCTTAGGTTTGCTTGCTTTTGTATTTCGCTACGGCGTTAGCTAGCTATTAGAGTTGCACTTTGGATGACACACAACAAAACAAATACTAAAACTAGGACAAGTTAGTTTACTAATAAATAACAACACCAAACCTTCCTACAGAGTTTGGTGTAACTCAGTGGGTAGGTTAAGGTTAGTGCTTCAGCGTTGTTCGCTGTGTGACTTCTATTCAATGACGGCAACATGAAAAACACGGCTCCAGCTGGCTACTGTAGTTAGCATTAACAGTGTTAGCATTGCGGGGGTTTTGGCTGTCAGCTGTTACTGTCTAATGTAAGCTACAAAGAGCGCGAAATAAGCGACAGTTGTAGTTTATTTATAACTGACGACAAACAGCGATGAGAATTTGCCCTCACCGTCAGACCGATAGGTCGGCTCATTCTGGTTTCTTCTTCTGCTTCTCCTTTTTTCATTTTATGGCGGATTGCAGTCATTGACTTTGACGGCGCACATCGCCACCTGCTGTGCCAGAGGCGAAGTACAGATATAAATAACAGGAGGTTACTTTAACTTCAGTATACTTTGTCTGATCTGCACCATATGCACATGCTTGATAAGAGTCCCGTCCTGAACACATCTTTGTGATAATATTCAGTAATAGTGACAGCGCCACCTAGTGGTGAAAGGAAATGTCATATTTTATACTTTCAAGTTCTACTCCTAGCAGGTTGATCAGATCTGCCTGAAATTTAGTCAGAAAATGCAAAACATGTTGTTGATGATATCTCATGATTGTGGTGAGTTTTTGTTAAAGGGCATGTCCGTCGCATGGGGTCAAATTTCCATGTACCACCAGAACACACAAATTTGCTATAATTTGAGTGTACGTTGGCCATTTGACTCCAAACTTCGTGTTTGATAAGAGTCCCGCCTTGAACACATCTACATGACAATATTCAGATATAGTGATAGCACTACCTACTGCCAACAGGAAGTAAGCGCTCTGTGGCGGTTTTGATCTGATTTACGTGAAATATTCATGTTGTGGGCTGCACACATTACGCCAGCAAATGACGCGGTCGCAGCACACCCCAACACGTGCCGAGTGTGAGGGCCTGTTAATCACTGCTTACAGTTTTAATTTCTATTATATTTTGTAATATTCCTATTTGTGATAAGATTGTATGTACACTGTACTCTCTTTTTATTGCACTATATGTCCCAATGCTGCTGTGTGTAACTTGAGTTTCAGTGTATTATTTATATTCAAAACACAATGTCTGTCAGCCAACAAGCTAACAAGAATCAAATAATGTTTGTGCTGGTAACTATATAACATTGACAGATGTTACTGGATACAATTGCGCTGATACGTTTTGTGTTGGTGTCTCAGGAGGCTGCTACTGACCTGGGCTCAGGAAATCTCTGTGCTGATGAAGAAGTCAGACACCTATAGCCCCCTCTTCTCCCTGCCCTCCTTCAACAAGTTCTGCAGGGGCCTGCTGGCTAACGGTGAGCCCAACACATCCAGCATTTCCAGTGAATCATTTTTAACCTGTATGACTCATTCATCAGTAATGTTGTTTCTGTGCACAGGTCTGAATGAAGATCCAAGTATCGGCCTTCAGACCTGCCACAGCTTACAGATCCTCTCTTCATCTCTGTCTACTGAGCTACTGCAGAGGTGAACATCATACTTACACACACACACACACACACTTTCAGATTGTATTTAAAATGCCTGTACACTTAACATGGTCCATAAAGTTGTCATGTTTTCTTGCTGTTCTGCACTTTGCTGCAAACATGGGGGGGAGAAAACTGCCTGTCCTGTTGAGTTTAAAGTGTCTGTGTGTGTGTGTGTGTGTGTTTAGGTGTGTGGATGTGTGCAGAGTCCAGTTGGTCCATTCAGCAGTGAGGGTGAGGCAAGCCTATGGCAAGCTGCTCAGGACAATCCCCCTCGATGTGGCTTTGAGGTAAGACTTATTGTACCACTGGGGGGCATCTGCAGTAAAATGGATCTGTTCTCTGCATACCAAGTTTGATATCTTGTGTGTGTATATATGACATTCACCAGTGGACATACCATGAATGAGTACTTATCGAGTCAATTGATTTGAAAGTTCAAACCGCAGTAGGTACTCATGTTCTGAGGAGTCAAGCATTTCTTAGTTTTTAATCTAATCTCTCATATAGTTCATTTTATAATGCTGGTTAAGCAGCGCCCAGATAGCTCACCTAGTATAGCTGGTGCCCCATGTACCAAGGCTGAGTCCTTGCTGCAGCGGCCCAAGGTTCGACACAATGTAGATGTCACGGTTGTGTGTATGCCTGATTATTGCCTGCGTGATTTTTGTCCACAGTAACCATAGCCACCCTGAGATGAGGGAGATCTCACTGGCTATCCGCCACCACATGAGCCGAGCGCCAAGCAGCACCTTCCACCCCCAGGACTTCAGCGACCTCATTAGCTTCATCTTATATGGAGTCCTGCACCGTGGAGGGTATGGATTGATCAGCTGCATAGACTGTATGCAAATTGTTTTTGCAGTCCCAGGGATAAAGATAAATCTGAGTTTAAAAAGTCTACTTTTTTAGTTTAGAGTGGGATCTGTAACATCCAACATCATAGCCCTGAGTTTATGTTTACAACACTGCTTTCTAGCAGTTGGGGTATGATATTCTTCAATATTTTTCATGTATAATTTATTTTTCTGTATTATTTATTCTGTCAGTTTGTACCACTGTGTGTGTACCTCATGGTGACATGCGTCACTGTTAGTTTCTAAGCTCCACAGTTGTGTATCCACAGCAAAGACCCCTGGCTGGAGCGCCTGTACTACAGCTGCCAGCGTTTGGAGAAACGGGATGGCAGAGGAGGTGTGGACTGCAGCCGGCCAGGTGTAGTGCCACGCGCGCTGTTGAAAACTGAGGCGGTGCTGTGGCAGTGGGCTGTGTGGGAGGCCGCGCAGTTTACTGTACTGTCCAAACTCAGAACACCGCTGGGCCGAGCTCAGGATACCTTCCAGACAATTGAGGGTAAACAGACT